CAGCCAATGAAGAACCACCTGACGACAATCCATGTTCCGGAAAAAGAATTGGGCCATACCTCTCCGACTGCACTGGATTCAACTCACTCCGTTTCGACTGACACTCTGACCAGAGCCTCAGAGTACTGACTTCAATCAAGTTGAGGATTTCAACCTAGATCTTCAATCAAGCAAATCCTATCTAACGTGGACTGGAGATAACCCATTAGAGACTTTCCCTGTGCTAACATTTTTTCCCCCACAAGACCCCACAAGGCTACCATCATCCCATTTCAGCAGGAAGTAACTTAGAAGATGCTACGCCCCCGCTCCCCATTACTGTTTATTAGGGTAGTGTAAGCCTAGTTAGGAATAACTTTCTTATTGCTTAGAGTTGGGATTGGAAGGAGGTGTTCAAGTTAGACACCCTTTCCACATGACTTTAGGGCTTAGACGGAATAGATAGGATTGCAATAGCAGATTATTGTATCTTCTTATACTTCACCTTTATGATTGGTAATTTTGGATGTTTTACACTATTAAGTTTTAATCCTCTTTTAGACTAAAAGGGGAATTGTAGGAAGACACTGTAGCCCCGCCTCCTAGTAGCCCAGACAGGTGTGCTGGGACACGCCTATGAGGGCGTGGTGAGGGGAGGTCTAAAGGTGACGCTGGGAGGATTCTTAAGGGATGGTGGACATGTGGATAGCCCCTTCTCCCTTCTCCCTTCTCCTCTCTCTGGCCTGGCTGCCTTGCTGCCCCTGGCACGCTCTGGCTTGAGCTTGGGGGGTGTTTATCTGAATAAAGAAATCTTAGCCTTACGGACTTCGGATCAATCTCTTCCCTTAGTCTGGTTATGCTATCTGCTTGTTGTATAGATAGAGTCATTGGTTACTGCTTGCTCCATTTTAGCTTTTCTAGCCTCCTGGTTAACATTAAATATGTGTCTGTCTATGAAACTTACTCTTGATCCAAGCTATCCAAATTGTATATTGCCAAGGCCATGATGGTCCTCCCTAATCCACACTCATTCCCACATCACTGTGTTTCTCCTCCCCATTTCCATCCACTCCTGAAGATAACCACTCCCATGGCCTCCTTGTTTATTCTTTTACCTAAGTGCACAGATGTGTGTGTATTTCCTTATATAGTCCTTTTCTTCCAATAAACGCAGCCTACCATCAATAGATATTACATCTAACTTTGTTTTTGTCCACTTATCGTGGAAATTACTACACATCCATGCACAGGCATCCTCCTCATTCTTTATATGGCTTCATTGCACAGCTGTGCCAGTGTCTATCTCACCATTTTTCTATGCATCTACATTGAGGTTATTTGTAATGAATAAACCACCTAACACACATGTATTTCTGTAGTGGGATGTATCCTTCACGGTAGACTCCCACAGATGGGATGGCTCGGTCAGACATTAAGTGGGCAGTAGTCTTGTTAGAGCTCACCAAGTCCCCAACCCCAGAAGGATCATGCCACTTTGCATCCCCTCTAATACTAGATGGAGGACCCGGTTTTCCTATAGTTACATACATTGTTATACTTTAAAAAAATGTTGCCCCTCAGATAGGAGAGAAATAGGATCTTGGTTTTGCTTTGAGTTTCTTTAGTTGTGAGTGTGCTTGAGTATTTATTTCAACGGTTAAGGGCCATTTTTATATTGTTTATGAATCATCTTTCATGCCTATTTCTCCTTGTCTATCAAGTTTCTGGTTACCAGTCTCTCATTCATCAGAGCTCTCAATGTCCTGGGGCCATTGGGCCTTCACCAGCAGCTGCTACAGATGTGTTCTCCCGGCTTCCCAGTAGTCCTTTGGCTGCATCTTGGTTTTTGACTAGGCGAATTTTCATAGAGTCTACTTTTTCAATATTTCATTTTATTGTTTCTTTATTTTGAGTCAACTGGAAAACTGTTGCTGGTGTTTAGATGAAAGAAGAATCTAGTGCTGGTCTGGTCTTAGTCTTTACATTTAAATTCCCAGTCTATTTAGAGGTTGTTCTTATGTCTGGGTGTGAGATATGAAGCTAATTTTGTCTTCTCCCAAACAGCTCCCCTATTGTCCCAGCATCATTCATTAAAAAGTCTATCTTTGACACGCTAATTTTAGATGCAACCTTTATCCTATACTATACTCCCCTATGTAGGTGGATCTATTCATAGGCTTTCTTTTTTCTCTTCCAACTGGTCTACTTGTCCACTCACACATTACTACCACACTGTTCCACTCTGGGAGCTCCCCAAAAGATTTAATGTCTGCCAGTTCCTGTTTCCAGCACAGTTTATAGAATTTTCTTTGTTGAGTCCAGGTTTTATGTAGCCCAGGCTGGCCCAAAACTCACTATCTAGGCAGGGATGATCTTGAACTTCTGATCCTCCTGCTTCTTCCTCCCATCAAAGGCTGGGATCACAGACATGCGCTACTCTGCCTGGTTTCTACTATACTGAGGACTGAACGCCGGGATTCGGGCAAGCTAGACAGCACTCTATGACAGAGGTGCGACCCAGCCCTTCCTCTGCTATCCAAACCCACTTCTTCTTCCATAGGGATGTAAGTGTCAGCCTGTCTGATTCCACAAAGGATGCTTGCTGATGCTGTTATTGCTTCTGGTGTCCATTTGCAAATTAACATGGGCAGAACTGATGTCTCAGCAGTGTTGAGTCTTTTTATCCAATATCACAGGGCAGCGTTCCATCAGACCTGTTATGTTTTCAAACGCATTAAAAATTTTTTGTTCATATAGACTCTGCACATTTGTTGTTAAGCACATTCCTAAATATGACTTCCTGTTGCACTGTAAATATAGCAAATATGTTTACTAATTGGTTACTTTTTGCTTTCATAAGATTTATTTTTAATTGTGTGTGTCTATCTACGTGTGGGTATGCACACATGAATGCAGCTAGCGGCAGAAGCCAGAGGTGTCTGATCCTTTGGAGCTGGAGTCACAGGCAGTGGTGAGCCACCTGGTCTAGATGCTCAGAGCAGAACTCAGGTCCTCTGCAAGAGCACTCTCTTGACCCTGAGTCATTTCCCCAGTTCCTAGTTTTCACTTTGTATATTAGGTTAGCCCTATCATTGATTCGCCATGGTCTCCCAGAATACTGTCGCATTCACATAAAACTAGTGTCTCAATACAGTTAAACGTCCCGTATTTGAAGAGCTTGAAATCCAGTTGTGTATATAATGAGGCATCTTTGAGTTGAACTCCAAGAAGACAAAATCCATGTGCTTCATATATGCCTTACACACATATCCTAAAGATGATCTTATGTGATATTTTTAAACGACTTTACACATGAAATAAAGTTTTGTGCAGTAGAATTTTCCACCTGTGGCACCATGTTGGTAATCATAAAGCTCTGGCTTCCGGAGTCCCCGGTGGACCAGCAATATTCAGCTGGTATTGTCATCTATCATTGTGACTCTAATCTATTTCTCTTGTTAAATGGTGCCAACTATTATCTCCACAAAAATAGTGACTGCTAGCAGGATTGAGGGTATCCTTCTCACACCAAGTTCCTAATGTTGTTGGAAATACATAAAGTATTTTCTCATTAAATATGATATGGGCTCAATTAGAAAATATATTTCCTCATGTTTAGAATCAATCTTGTAATTCATATTTTCTTGAGCGTTTTATTTATTTTAGTGAATGGATGATATTTTTGTTAAGATTTGTTTCATTTTTAATTATGCATATGATGTGTATCTGGGATCAGGAATGTATTTGCCAGTGGAAGTGCCCCATAGGCCAGAAGAGAGCATTCCCATGGAGCTGAACTCGTAGGCAGTTGTGAGCAGTACACTCTCTTAACCATGGAGCCATGTCTTCAGCCCCGTGACTAGACAGCTTAGGTATCATATTATTTGAAAACTAATAAAGGAGAAAAGCAAGAACATATGCTGTCTTTTATATATGGTACCAAAGAGTAGCGTGGCTAAGTTTCTTACTAAGGAATTATTCCAGATAATAAGCAAAGAAGAAACTATCAAATAAGAAAATGCCTAGTTTGTAACTTCTAATGAAATGGTCTCATTGAATGCCATATAGAGGTACTGGCACAAAAAGAGAGACATCAGAACAGCAAACTCCATCAAAAGTGTGTACTGGTGTCTGTAAAGTAGTCTTCCAGAAAAGAGAGACAAATAGACACAGAAATGAGGGAGGTGGTAAAGGAAGAGTCAGAGAGACTCTGGATCAAGTCTCGAAATGCACAAGGCAGAGGGAATGTCCACCATTCAGAAAAATTAAATCCTGGGAACTCCATTGAACAACTGGCTTGTAAAGTGGAGGGAACGTCTATGTCTTATTTGTAAAAAACAGGTATTGAAAGAAACTTCAAGATACATTCACTAGCTGCAATGCATGGACCTCATTTGGACCTCAACTGCAACATTCAAGAGACAACTAAGTAGAAATTTTCATTGGACATTTAATTATATTAAAATTATGTATTTGAAGCTATAGTAAAATTTTGGTTATTTTCAGTTTAAAGGTAGCTATTTGTCTTTTTAAAGGTCCAGATGATATATTTACCAGTGAAATTATATGATAACCAGGATTGAAAAGTGGGGGAAGGATGATGGCTCAGTTGGTAAAATGCCTGCTGCACAAGCATAAGGACCCGTTTCCAGGACCCCAACACATGTGTAAAAGCTAGGTGCACATCTGCCACCCAGCTTTGGGTAGGGAAAGCAGTGTCTGGAGATAAAAAGAATCCCCAGAGCTCATTGGCCATCCAGGCTATCCAAACTGATGAGTTTTTGGATCAGTGAGCTATCAGATGAGGAGTGATGGAGGAGGACAATGGCCAGAAAGACATCCCCTGCTGGCCACCTCTGGCATCTTTCCCTGAAGGCACAAGAGCTCCAAAGGAAAAGTACAAGGGTCCCAAGGGCTATAGAGGCTGAAAAAGCCTGTTGTTTCCCCCGGGAACCCAGAGCCCTTTCAGAGGGCTCCAGCGCCTTCTGTCTCTTCTTGCCCCAGGAATAGCCTGAACTCACATCATTCTCCGAGGTCCCACACAGGATACAGGACTTGCATTCTATACACTGCCACTTGTAGGTCTTGACTGCCTCGGTCATATTCAGGGTGAACTGCAGGCAAGTTGGGTGACCTGAAAGAAGCCAGAAGCAACAAAAGAGTTGTATTAGCACAAAAGAGTGTGACCTGTACCCCAACACAGATGGGGTAGGTCATTCTGTGTATACATTTTGTCTTATTGGTTAATAAAGTACTGTTGGCCAATAGGGAAGCGAGTTAGGCAAGACTAGGAGTCGAGGAGGATTCTGGGAAATGTAGTAAAGAGAAGTCTCGTGATCCAGGCAGGAAGTGACATGGCAGGCAGACTCAGAATATAAGCAGGGACAAGCAGGAAATCGCTCTCTTGCTCCTCCTCTCTTCTCAGCAGCCTCCATGTGAGCCTGACAAGAGAGGACACATGCTGCCAGTGTCCTCGATCCGATACGTCTTTATAAAATATATAGAGTAAGAAATCCTAGTCATTGGCCAGCAGCATTTTAATTAATAAAAGACTCTGTGTGTTATTCTGGGCACCCACGCGGTGGCGGGGCTTGGGCAGCTTGGCGGAAAGATTTATCATTACACAACCCCACTAATTCAAGGCACATCTTGGAAGGTGTATGGAGGAGGGCAGATGTAGCACTGGCTGGGCAACAGACTGGGAGTCTAAATGCAGCTCTATTCACAGTCCTTACCACAGCCACCTCTAGTCATGCCAGGCAGAGGCCAAATGGAGAGATGGATATTCACCTTCTTACTAAGTACCAGCCAGCCCCTTTCACCCCAAGAACCACACAAGTAGAGTAGAAAGCTGTGATCAGAGAGCACTAAACAAGGTGATATGGAGCACAGAGCCCAAGGCAACCTGGTGGGAGGCATCCACATCACCCCTGCCCAAGCCCTAGCTGAAGCTGGGACAGGACAATTTATCAGAGCTACTTAGGGCTGGGACCTCCTATTCACACTGCCTGGGGGTGATATAAGGTTCTCAGGGATTTCATAGGGGTAACAGGTGGCATTTTTGTGGTTCCTTGAGTATCCAGGCCCACAGCCAAGAGATGAACAAAAACCCAAACCCTGAACAGTCACAGGAACAGAAAAGCAAAGGGGTCTGGCTGGGAGGCAAGGCAGTGACTAACCCAGCAAATAACCAGGTCTGTCCTACAACTGTCATGTTAACTAAACCTATAGCCAGATCAGGAGAGGGACTTTAAGCAGTGACCATAGATTGCACAGTCCTGAAGAAAAGTCTGAGGCCTAACCTGCCAAGCAGGACTCCATCATCCCTTCATTGACTCCAAAGAGCAATGCCAAAAGTGACCAGACAGCTGGGAGCCGACCCTCGGCATTCCAGCTGCCAGGGAAGAGAAACCTAGATGATGTTCCCAGTTTCTCAGTGCTGTGACCGGGATGGGCAGAGCCCACTGCTGACTCTGCTGGAAAGAACCAGCAGCTTGGCCTGGCCCAGCCCATCCTTCTCCAGAGTTCCAACTGCACAGAGCATTTGCCCCTCTTGTGTGAGGAATTTCTTTCTTTAAAGGATACTATAAAGAGGGAGCACCAGTTAGAGTTAGCATCACTTACCAAATGTGCTCACAGACAGACTTCCAAGTCCTGTCCCTAGCCCCCAGCAGAGCCGCATTCCAACAGGAACCCCGTGTTTCCCTTTGGAATCTTCAGAGAGTCCATCAGACCATGCTCATTTGAGTAAAATACTGGCTAGTCCATCAGCATAAGGACCTACCAGATTTGGGGCTCCCCACATATAAACCACACTGAGGTTTCTGAGAGTGTTGGTGTGGGAGTAAATAAGCGGTGGTAGGAGGAAAGGGGAAGAGATGAGGCCAGAAAGAAGCCTTAAATTAAAACCCTGCATGAATATTCCTCTGATATTCTGGAAAACGTCCCAAAGTACGATCGGAGGAGAATACGAGCCAAACTGTTTCCTGCGCTAATCTTTCAGAGTGAAAACAGAACGGGACTAGTGGGGACATTTTCAGCGGTGGGTTCAGTGGTATGGGCCACAGGTGCACAGGTTCTCTGACAGGACATTGTTGGAAAGGATGGAGCTGAGACTGTGGGACATACACCCACCTAGGCAAAAGGTTTTATCCAGTTCCCTGGCTTTGGGCCAGACCCCAGCTGTAAAAAGCCAGCTTACACCAAGAAGAGCTCATTAACTCAACAACTGTTTGGTGAGCAGCTGTTAAGCTGGCTGTTACGCTAGACAGAAAAGATACAGTGTGAGTAAGACACCCTAAGCCCTCCAAAGAGACCTCAAATTACTAAAACCCCGTGCACAACTAACACCATAAAAGTGAGGCAGAGGTGGTGGTGAAAACCAATGGGAGCATCTAGCCAGAGAGGTCAAGGAAAACAATCCTCCTGGGAAAGAGGCTTAAGTCAGTACTGGACAGATCAAAAGTTAACCGGGTGGGAAGGAGAGAGAATGCCAGGTAAAGGGACCTGAGCGCCCAGGCTCTGAGCAGCCAAAGAGCTTTGCAAACTAGAGGAAAGAGAGGACCTAGGAACATGAGTGTAGGCTTCTTTGCAAAATGAGGGGCAGGAGGCCACCGGGAAACAATGAAGCCAGACTAAATAGGCCCTTACATCCCTATGTAAGCATTTGGGCCTATAAAGTCATTGAAGGCTTCCAAGCAGAGCAGAGGCCTGATGACTATGTTTTTTAAGAAGCGTTCTTAGGGGATCTTGAAGCTGAGGACTTAGCTTTGGATCTTGGGGTTACATAGGTGATGACAGAGAACCATACAGAGGCATGCACCAAACATTCACAAATATGTATGTGTGCACGAGCCTGTGAAACAGCAAACCCCGCAAAGGGTCTAGGATCGCAATAGCTTTGCTACTGTAAGTGGGTCTCTAAGATGCTCATCACTGGGGGACAGGAACATGGGATCACTGTCATTTCATATAAACCTATAATTACTCCCAAACATTTGAAAAGATCTTTTAAAATAAGAACACACAAATGAAAATGTACATCAGCAGGAAGAAACTAGGGGGTTGGGGAGAAGGTCTGGAAAGGATTTGCTACGAGGCTGAGAAGACACAAGAATTTTTGCCAGGTTTGGTTCTAAGGCTGAGGCTCAGGTGTAAACCTGAGAAAACAATAAATCAGAAAGGGATAGGAACTGACCCACCTGAATACTGCAAATGTGGGAAAGTGAGTGTCTGAATGCAGGAATTGGGCAGAGAGCAGTGTGACTACTGAGACGAGGAACACTGTAGGAAGAATGTGTGGAACCCCGGAGGACCCCTGTTCTGAGTAGTGCACGTTGAATCAGGGAGCAGAACACAGAGTTGAGAGTTCAAAAGACATGTGTGGACTTGAAGTAGAAACAAGGCTGGTTTAGTAGCACACCTTTACTCCCAACACTAGGGAGTCAGTGGCAGAAGGATGTCTCTGAGCTCCAGGCCAGCCAAGGCTACACAGAGACATTGCCTAAAAAGGGAAAAGAAAGAAAGAAAGAAAAGAAAGAAAGAAAGAAAGAAAGAAAGAAAGAAAGAAAGAAAGAAAGAAAGAACCAAAAACCTCAAGATTGATTTCTGCTAACGAGGTGGTAATTGAAAATATGAAAATCAATAAAAGTAGGAAAAGGAAAACAAGAGAGAAAGGGGAAGAAAGGTGAAGGGATTTCTAAAAATCTAGGACTAAGATTTGAGGAATCATCTATTTAAAGACAGAAGAGCTGGTGATGGAACACAACACGCCTATAAATTCCAATACCAGAGAGCCTAGAGCGAAAGGACAGTGAGTTCAAGGCCACCCAGGACTACATAGTGAGACCCTGACTTGAAAATAAAAACAAGGGAGAAAAAAAAAAAAAAAAAAAAAAAAAAAAAAAAAAAAAGGAGAAAAAAAAAACAAAAAAAAAAAAAAAAAAAAACAGAATGGCCAGAGAGCCAAGAATCAAACTGGGCAAGTATGGATTGACCATAGCCAAAAGAAGGTATTTGAAAAACTGGCCAGCTGTGTGACACAGCAGGTCTATCATTGTTCCGTAAAGACCCAGAATGAGGGTATTATCTATGGTCATACCATCCTAAATGTGCCCAATCTAATCTGAATGAGGGAGTGTTGACAGATCAGCACAAATGCTGTCCTGCTAATAATAACATTCCTCATGGTGCCATCTTCCCAAGGAAGGAAGGTCAGCACATTCCATGGCCTGGAACTCAGCTGGCAGCTGCACTGGAGCATCTATCTGCCTGGGTGGGGCTGAGGTGGGCTGTGCGGTTCACGTATCTACAACACTGCAGATGCCAGTCATCAGTCTACTCTGTCTGAGTTCTCCTACAGGCACGCCCAATTTTTGACATTACAACAGGATACCATTGTCTACAAGGTTGACTCTTGAGAACTGCTCACTTCTGTTACAAAATGATGATGATGGTGGTGGTGGTGGCGGTGGTATTATAATAATAATATGAAATCTTGATAATCTCACAATGTTTTACAATTTTGTGTTGGGCCACATTCATAGCTGTCCTGGAGGGCACGTGTGTGTCCCGTGGGCCAAACATTGAACACATCTACAGCCTCTACACAAACCCTGTGCTGAGTTCTAGAGACATTTTGTGGTGATGGCTTTAGTTAAACAAGTAAATGGTGGCAAGTGGGTGTCAGAAGCATCTTTAGAAGTCTGTGGGGGGGGGCAGGGGATCACACAGGCTTTCTCTATGTTCTCATGTTGAGAAGCTTGTTGACTTTCCAAAGATCTTCTGACATGCAGGAAAAGACCTCAGCGCCCCCCCCCCCCGTGCCTCATGCCTCCAGGCTAAAACTAGCCTCAGCCCCAGCTCAGAACTCAAAAACGTTACTCAGTCGAGAGAAAAAATAGAAGACAGGAATGTTCTTACTACTTCTCTACTAGGGAGGAAGAGGTGCAAGAAGTTTAGTCGCTGTACAGATGGGTCCCAAAACTAAGTCCAGAATGAAGTCATGTGCCTGTGCCACCATACCAAGCTGGCCACTCTCCCAAAACTAGAAACAATAAATGGCATGCAAAAGTCCAAAACTACGATGTCTTACTAGCCATAGAAAGGACATAAGAGCGCACACTGTTTGACAAA